CCCTGAAAAACCGACTGGGTCACCAGGGCTTTGGCTGCGACTTGGTGGCACTTTCCACCACCATGAAGGCTCAGAGTCCCTGCCAAGGAAAATAAATGGGCTGGGCAAGAAGGCCTGCAAGGAAGCAAACCGGCAAAGGGTAAAGTCAAGCTGGGGGCCGCAGTGGCTCAGAGGTTAAGTTGCTGAGCTGCAGACCGGAAGGTTGGTAGTTCGGCAGTTCGAGACCCGAGTCCCGCGTGACGGAGGGAGCTCCCCTCTCTGGTCCCAGCTCCTGCCAACCTAGCAGTTCAAAAGCAAGAAATTGTAAGTAGATAAATAGGGACCACTTCGGTGGGAAGGTAACAGTGTCCCGTGCACCTCGGCGGTGTTTAGTCATGCCGGCCACATGACCACAGAGAAGCCTTTGGACAGCGCTGGCTCTTCGGCTTGGAAATGGAGATGAGCACCGCCCCCTAGAGTTGGATTCGACTGGCTTTCGAGCAAGAGAAACCTTTATCTTTAAAGTTAAGCTGGCTGTGCTGTGAGGAAGGAATCCCTCTTATGAAGCTGCTTTATACCCTGGTACCTCTCCAAGCGCATCTCCCTGTGAACTTCCATGCACTAGTAGCGCTCAATGCACCAGTTGTGCCCAGACAGCCTTCTTTTGGTAGTACCCTCACCTCTGACAGTCCTTTTGGCAACCGTTAGCTCGCCAGCATTGTCTGAGATGGGTCACGGCTTATTGGAGTTTTTTTCAGCAGGCTCCTTTGCTCGCCAGCATTCAGAAAGGCGTGCAAGACTGTTTTCAGCCTGGTGCCATTTGGTGGACAGTGAACTGTTTGTGTAGCAGTTCTAATAGTCTGGGCTAGGCTGAACTCATCAGAGCTTGGAAGTTAAGCAGGGTTTCTCCACGATCAGGACTTGGATGGGAGACTGCCAGGGCAGGTTGGGGTTGTTATACACTGAGGAAGGCGACGGCAAACCACCCCTGCTCTTCTCTCACCTCGAAAAACCACATGAGGTGGAACTTCAGGGGGGCTCCGTGAGTTGGTAACGCTCCCTCTAAGCTGTGGAGTCTCGTGAGCAAAAAAATTCTACCTTGTGAGCAATGTTCCCTCTAAGCCGTGGAGTCCTGCGAGCAAAAATTCTACTTTGTGAGTTACTGGCATTAAAGTTGTGAGCGAGTGATTGGGCTGCTGCATAAATTAGTTTGCTCTGGAGCCATCCTTCCTGAGCTAAGACAGAAATGTGTGAGCTGGAGGCTAAAAGACTGTGAGCTAGCTCACACTAACTCAGCTTAGAGGGAACACTGCTTGTGAGCGACTGGCATTAAAGTTGTGAGCGAGCAATTTGGCTACTGTGTAAATCAGTTTGCTCCAGAGCCATCCCTTCCTGAGCTGAGACAACAATGTGTGAGCCGGAGGCTAAAAAACTGTGAGCTAGCTCACACTAATTCAGCTTAGAGGGAACACTGGTTGCGACCTGACAGCGCACTTTACTTAAACGGTGTGTATTGACTCTGAACTGTCTTGAATTGCGTATTGTTTTCTAACACCTCGGATGCTTACAAGGTTGGTCCTTACGGCTGTCACCGTTCTGTTTGGCCTACAAGGTAGGGTAAGGTAAAGGTAAAGGTTCCCTTGCTCGAGAGCCAGTCGAATCCGACTCTAGGGTTGCGGTGCTCATCTCCGTTTCCAAGCCGAAGAGCCAGCGCTGTCCGAAGACGTTTCCGTGGTCATGTGGCCGGCATGACTAAACACCAAGGTGCATGGAACGCTGTTACCTTCCCACCGAAGTGGTACCTATTTATCTACTTGCAATTTCTTGCTTTCGAACTGCTAGGTAGGGTACAAATATTTTAAATAAATATGGAACCCCAGGGCAGACCATTGGCCCATGGAACTCAGCAGTGCCTACTTTGACGGACAGCAGATATTCAAACAGAGACATGCTTTCCCCAACACCTGCTTCTCGGGATTCTTTAGGAGGAACTTTGACAGAGAAGGGGGGAGAGGGAAGCAAAGGTGGGAGAAATGCCCCCTCCCCACAAGAAACCTGCGGGTCTCCCCTTGTAAATGTACTAAGATAGAACCTTTGGAAACTGTGAACAAAAATAAAGTTATGGGAATGGTTTGTGTCCCCAGTCAGAAGAAGAAGAAGAGGAGGAGGACGAGGAGATTGAATTTATACCCCGCCCTTCACCTGGAGTCTCAGTGCAGCTTACAAATTCCTTTCCCTCCCCCTCCCCACAACAGACACCCTGTGAGGTAAGTGGGGCTGAGAGAGCTCTGACAGGAACTGCTCTTAGCAGGGACTGAACCCACAGCACCCGCCTAGCTAGATTCAGAGCGCGACTTTCTCGGCCTTCTGCAAACGGCACTGCAAAGACCTTCCTGCCAGCAGCGAGTCCTGTACTTCTTGCTGCTCGTAAGAAGTGCCGGGGACAGGCTAAGCCTGCTGCTGTAGGAAAACCCAGCAGGGAAAGGAGGAAGGGAAAAAAGGGGAAGAAGAAAAAAGAAAGGGAACACAACTATTGCATTTAATGTTTCCACAGCACAGTGCAGCACAGCGCAATGAGAGTTTCAGGCTGCGAATCCTTGGCACCCTGACTAGAACTCAGAACGGGGAAGGAAACAGGTAGAAGACCCCCTTACCTCTGTGCCACGGCCCCCGTCTGTCCTATCTTAGCAGCAGTTTCTGACATTAAAGGTGACCTGACCACTGATCTGCAATGAAACGAGCAATTTGGGCCAAACACTTCTGTTGCGGCAGAAGCTCTAGGGACCAAATGCCACTTCATCTAGTGCACGAAGTGCTACTTTCAGCTGGTAGGTAGGTAGACAGACAGACAGAGGATGATTGCAACTATTGGTGTTGTAAAAGATCCCGGCCCTGACATGGATGGCCCAGGCTAGCCCGATCTTGTCAGATCTCAGAAGCTAAGCTGGGTTGGTCCTGGCTAGTATTTGGATGGGAGACCTCTAAGGAATACCAGGGTCATGACAGTGCAGCAGGCCAGCAACGGCAAACTACCTCTGAACGTCTCTTGCCTTGAAAACCCTACAGGGTTGCCTTAAGTCAGCTGTGACTTGACGGCACTTTCCCTCGCAACGTATCAGATCTAAAGTTTCTCCAAACAGCACAACTGTGTACAAAAGAAACAAAACACATCTGCTTGAGCTGTGTGTGCGTGTGTGTGTGGGGGGGAACTGCGGCATCTCTGAAACTACCCTGACCTGGATAGCCCCGATTGGAAACTAAACAATCCAAGGAACCACAGTGTTTGGGAGACGAAAGATACAAAACACACCATGCATACAAAATATACAAACGGTAGTAAAGATTTTAATAAACGATACCCTGTGTGATTCAATATCTATAAAATTCTATTATATAAACCACCTTCTATTTCTATTATCAGCTATACGCTTCCCCTACATAATATATCCCAATTCACATCAAAAAGTCTCTAGTTGAAGCTTAAATATACAAGACCTTAACCATTTCTACAGCAGGGGCATCTGAATTCGCAACAGATACAATACAACAGGTAAACTCAGCTTAGGAAAGTCCAGTCACTCCAGTGCAGTACATCAGGTCAGTTAACTCCAATTTTATGGGTGAAAATTCAACAGGTAAGTTCAACAGAAGAATCCAACGCAGTGCAGTAGGTAGGTTAACTCTGACCCTGCTATTAAGTGCCAGTCTTAAAGGGCTTCTCTCAGTTGAATTATGTCAGTTTCACTTCTGACTTTTACTTTAGGTTTATTAATTTCACTTCTGGCTTTAATTTTGGGCTTAACAGGTAACGGGGTAGACTGAAGGATAAAGAGGACCTTGTGTTACCAGCATACAGCCAATTAAGGAACACAGAATGTTCCAGGTGAAACATTGTGAAATCTCCAGGTCAACTGGTTTAAGACCCTGGCCTCATGAGGTGTATTGAAAGGGCTTCTCTCAGTTGAATTATGTCAGTTTCACTTCTGGCTTTTACTTTAGGTTTATTAATTTCACTTCTGGCTTTAAGTTTCGGCTTAACAGGTAACCGGGTAAATTGAAGGATAAAGAGGACATTGTGTTACCAGCATACAGCCAATTAAGAAACACAGAATGTTCCAGGTGAAACATTGTGAAATCTCCAGGTCAACTGGTTTAAGACCCGGACCTCAGGAGGTGTATTAAGCTCAGCAGGGTCAGCCCTGGTTAGTATTTGGATGAGAGGCCACCAAGAAAGTCCAGGGTTGCTATGCGGAGGCGGGCAATGGCCAACCACCTCTGAGCGTCTCCTCTCTTGCTTTGTAAACCTTATGGGGTCACTGTAATTTGGCAGCAAAAGGAAGAAACACACTACAGGCTAGGTGAAGTTTGGTGATTATTATTTTTCCCTCCAGGGGGATTTATTTTTAGCAGAACGCAGCCGCCGGGGCCCGCAGTGCTTGGGGGAGGAGAATGGGACGGCCGTTTAACTCTTTTTTTGCCATTTCTGGCTCAAATCACCACCCCGTTTCCTGAACTGCTTCTATCCCTGCAGGGTGGGGGTACGGTATGGCTACAGCATCAGTTCTCGTTGCCAAAGCACTGTGGTTTAGAGCCTGCCTCGTCGGGGCCCTTGGCAGACAGATGGGCGGACAGTGGTGGATAGGTTGTTACAGTGTTGCCAACCTCCAGGTGGGGCCTGGAGATCTCCTGGGATTCCAACCGATCTCCAAGAAATGACAGAGGCCCCTTCCCCTGGAGAAAATGGCTGCTTTGGAAGGTGGATTCCACGGCCTTATACCCCACTGCGGTCCCCTCCGCACCTCCCCCAAACCCTTTCCTCTCCAGGCTTCACCACCGGACCCGAAGGCATTTCCCAACCCAGAGTTGGCAACCCGATGCGGACGGTGTTTATCTAGTCGCTTCTCATCCCGCCCTTCTCCCAAGGAGTGAAGAGCGGCGCGCTTCCATCGCCGCGCCTCCGTTCTTCCCTCACAACAACCCCGAGAGGCAGGCCGGCTTCAGCAAGAAAGTGTGTGACGCAGGAGGCGTCGCCGCTGCTCCTTGGAGCTCCTGTGCTCGGCGCTGCCCTGGCTGCTGCTGCTGGAGGCGAAGGTGGGCCAGCGGGAGGGCGCCGCGGGGCCGGGAAACGGGCGAGGAGGGGCGGGCGGCGGGGTGTCACTCGGAGCGGCTGGGGTTGCCAAATCCTGGTCGGGAAATTCCTGGGTATTTGGGGGGTAGAATCTGGTCCGGGACCTCAGTGGGGCATGATTCCGTCGAGCCTGCCCTCCAAAGAAGCCGCGTTCTCCAGGGGGACTGACTTTGTTTCAGTTGGAAGTCATCTGTAATTCCAAGACCCTGCGGGACCGCGGTGGTCAGAGAGCCCCCGATCCACACCTGGGCGAGACGCCCCCTCCCCTGTTCAGGGGAGTGAAGTCGGAATCCGGGGGAAGGGTGCTCAAAGTTTGGTTACTGCTTTAGGGGGATTTGTGGTGTGTCCCAATGTTCCCTCTAAGCTGTGGAGTCTCGTGAGCAAAAATTCTACTTTGTGAGCTCCTGGGATTAAAGTTGTGAGCGAGCCATTTGGCTACTGCATCAATTAGTTCGCTCTGAAGCCATCCTCCCTGAGTTGAGACGAAAATGTGTGAGTTGGCTACAAAACTGTGAGCTAACTCACACTAACTCAGCTTAGAGGGAACACTGGTCCCCAGCGTCAAAGCTAGTTACATCTCTGGGGGATTTATTTCCCACTTTCCCCCTTCTTCCTAGGAACCCTGGGCTATGTGTAAAGGTCCCTTTCCTTTCACACAACAACAACCCTGTCTGGTAGGCCAGGTCGAGGCCCACCGTCAGCCAATGTTCCCTCTAAGCTGTAGAGTCCTGTGAGCAAAAATTCTACTTTGTGAGCTACTGGCATTAAAGTTTTGAGCAGGTGATTTGGCTACTGCATAAATTAGTGTGTTCTGGAGCCCTCCTTCCTGAGCCAAGACAAAAATGTGTGAGCCGGAGGCTAAAAAACTGTGAGCTAGCTCACACTAACTCAACTTAGATGGAACACTGCCGTCAGCCAGGGCGGTCTGATGACTGAGTTAGTCCCCCTTTACCCTCACTGCCGCCGAGGTTATTATGCCATCCAGTTGCTGCCGATTTATGGTGACCTGCGTAGGGTTTCTCAAGGCAAGAGACATTCAGAGGGGGTATAGAATCCCAGGGTTGGAAGTGACCACAGAGGCCATCTAGTCCACCCCCCTGCTCAATGCAGGATCAGCCTAGAGCAGTGGTGGCAGGCCTATGGCACGGGTGCCAGAGGTGGCACTCAGAGCCCTCTCTGTGGGCACGCGTGCCATCACCCCAAGCAGGCCCAGACCATCATTAAAGTGTCGAATTCTCCAGGGGATGATGGGGGGCACTGTTATTGGGCAATTAAATGTAAATGGGGAGGGTTAAAAGTTCTAAAAGATTGACGCATTTTTCATAAGTACAAAGATGATAAGTTTGGATGCTAAAAAATAAAGCTAGTTAGAGGATCTCCTCTCTTGGGTTTTTAGTCAGTAGTTTTCCCCTCCCCCTTTTCTGTTGTTTTTTGTAGTGTTAAAAAAATCAATAAAAATAATCCCCTCCGGGGGCTCAAAAAAAAAGTGTCGAATTCTCTGCCAAATAATTTTAAGTAAATGAAAGCATTTGGGATTGCTTTCCTTACTTTGTTTGGATCCTTTTAAGTTAGTGTATGAGTTGTTTTTTCTAAAGTAAAACCTCAGTCTTCAGGTTCAATGGCCATGTTGGCACTTTACGATAATAAATAAGTGGGTTTTGGGTCGCAGTTTGGGCACTCGGTCTCTAAAAAGTTCACCACCACTGGCCCAGAGCATCCCTGACAAGTGTTTGTCCAGCCGCTGCTTAAAGACTGCGGGCGAGGGGGAGCTCACCACCTCCCCAGGCAGCTGATTCCACTGTGG